ATACATAACATTATATATCAGGTTTCAGTAAGTAATAATATCTATTGGAGTCCGGTAAATTAAAATAATAAATAAATGAGTTCTAAAGAAAAAAATGTTGTCAAATCTTCATATTTTTATWATACCTATTATAATATAAAGAGAAAACAATTGTTAGGTATATTGACGGTCCAGTATTCTATCTTCCATGGTCCAGATTCTGACCRTGGTCTGCCAGTTGCCGATTGTTGTTATATAATATAATATTATGTTAAACGGTCTGGTAAAATKTTGAAAATTGCTTTCCTAAAAGCTCGCATACCTGATGTATATGTACTGAAATGACGCCCCTGGTAAACATTCTTACCTATACGGCTAAACGTCCAAAACATTTTATTATTGCATGGTGAAAACTTTTTAATTTATGAATTTTACAGGAAACGATAACACGCTTTGATGACAACTCTTCTAGTGGATTTATAACCGGTATTGCTGTTGTGTTTATATCAGGTGAAATGGCCGGAATCGGAATGCTCGCCGCTCCATGGGCAGTGGTTAACTTAGGTAAGTCTCTGGTTTTGTATAACGTACCAAAATATGTTTCATGTCTACAGTTGTAATCATTTAAGATAATAGTTTGAAAGTAATAGTAAAATATAATACATTTACCTTTACATACYTGAACTTTGATATGAAAAAATAAATTATTCTATTGTCAAAAATATTTTTTTGGTACATAGGGTACTTGGTAATCATATTTTTTTATGATATAACATAATATAATTATGTTTTACGTTAACATTACATTATTAAGTATAATTGTGATTTTGCCATATTATTAGAAGGATAATATGCTTATATTGTACATTTTGAGACTTTTAAATACTAATAAGCAATRCATTTTTCTGCAAACCTATGAATTGGAAACTGAAAAGTTKACTATTCAAAACCCCGGATCAAATTTAAAATGTATAACATAACAATGAAAGTATCGTCAATTATACAACGATATTAGTTCAAGATATTATTTCTATTTTTATCGTAATGTAATAGTTTTATTCTTCATTTAAAATATTTTTGAAAATATAAATTAAGTTATTGATTAACTACTCGCACCTCCCCACACACACACACACACACCACAGATCCACATAATATTAGCGATGATATCTATAATAATCTGCAGAAGGTTAGGTATTATACAGACGCATATATTAGTACCTACATGGCCGATAACCCATTATAACTCTATGGATTATTATGACCTGTGTTCAATGTTTCAGGATGGATGGGATTTGTTTTGTTGGTTGCATTTGGTATTGCWACTGCCTACAGTGCGTCTTGTCTTGGGACTTGTTGGTTGATACTCGAGGAGAGATACCATCAATATAGAGTTTACCCAATACCTGACCCATATCCTACGATTGCTCTGCATGCTGTCGGCAGACGGACTAGGTATTTATATAATAATAATTAATATGTTATTCAAAATCTGCATAAAGTTATTTATGCATAAAGTTATTATTTATCGACTACGATGTACAGGTAAATGACTACTTTCCTATAAAAATTAAAATAAAATAAAAGTTTAAGTAGATATTTTCTTCTGCTGTACAGTTATTCAACTACAGTAGCTTTTATCAAGTTTACCTCGTAGTTGAGAGAAAGTTATTGTAATATATGTGTTAAATTTGAATTCAATGATAAATCATCGCATACAAATAATGATTCTGAGCGAAGGCAGCATAAAATCCAATATTTTGGTACCTATTTTATTTTACTATGAATAATATCTGCCACGGTAGATTGAATTAAATTTTTGATTAAAATTTATAAATATTTAAATGCGCGAAAGTCATCGTTTTCCACTGCCAGGGTGATATATTTTTTTCTGTAACGATAAAGCAACCAGGGTAATGTAACTATATGACTATAATATATACTTGTGACCTACCAACTACATGACTGTCGCCTATACTCATAATATTATTATTTAAACTTTTATTAAAAATTGTTGACACTATAAACGTGTAATTATTTTAACTTAGTGTGATTTCTAGTTACCTGACGAAAGCGTGTATTCATGCAACCCTATTCGGCTCCGCAACAGTTTATTTAATGCTGATAGCCCAATCAGCTCAAAAATTGTTTACAGGGTCACATCCTGAAATCGAATTTTCTACGTGGCTGTTTGTATTTTCGGTTTCCTTAAGTTCACTTATGTTCTTGGAATCGCCRAAAGATTATTGGTAAGTACCAACTTATTTCTTAAATAGGTAATGAAAAAAAATATGTATTMAATATGTTTAGTGATATCTGGGCTTTTTTAAAAATGAACAATCAGCAAGGACTTGCATAAACTGATTGGATTTTTGGT